AACAATGCAGCTTAAGCCTGTGTGTGTGTGTGTGTGTGTGTGTGTGTGTGTGTGTGTGTGTGTGTGTGTGTGTGTGTGTGTGTGTGTGTGTGTGTGTGTGCGTTTTTGTAGAGGCATATGCGAGGATGAATAGGCTGAGAAGAAAAAGGCTCACTACATGCGAGGTATTAGGTGTGCATGCTGAGAGATGAGCCAATTTACCGAACATGCTGCCTCACAAGGATACATTTACACATTTACATATTCTGTGTGTGTGTGTGTGGGTGGGTGTGTGTGCGCTCTCTTACTTGTATCCTGTTGTATGTTTCTATGCACGCTTGGATGCATAGAACTATTTGTGATTGTAGACTTGCCAAGCGTGTGTGTAGTATAAACCTTAATGTCCAGTCATGTAAGACCACCCACTTCTGCATGTGAGTGTGTGCACATGTGTTTATAAATCTACACGTCTGCATCTATTTCTGTTAACGTTGATTTCTTTCTCGTACTGCCACTAAGCTGAAGAGAGCTCCATGTATTGTTTGAGTATTGCATTGCTTCTGCTGCTCAATGATGCCATCTGGCTTTGGCTGACACCACCACATACATCCTAGGGGAGCGATCCGTGCAAGTCAGCGTCTGGTTTTAACAACTGTTTTGGGATCAGTTGTCCAGTGGGCTGGTGCTAACTCACCCCATTATGAGCAGGATGATAAAACTGACCTTGAAGCAGTTTATGGGCTCTGGATAATGGAAACCACTGATAGAGAGCCCATGAAACTCCACTCAGCTTTCAGTTACAAAGGAAAATAATGGTTTAACCACTTAACATTATTTTTGAACTGTGTCTAAAAACGTGTGAGAGGACGTTCCCGCGGCTCAATGACAAATGAAGAAACGCGGGGAAAATGATTAAGGGGGGCGTCTGGGTCGGAAAAATGGGAGGGAATTGTCATTTTTATTGTTTTGGGACGACATTGGAGGACCTTTTATGTTTGTCATATCCACTTTTTATACTTGAATTTAGCCCTTCTTTAACAGTTACATCTATAAGATTACTGTCATGTGTGCCATGGATTTTAAAGGTGCGTTTTGTCCAGTTGGGCTGCTGATATATCCATACAGGATGAGCATACATATTGTCTAGATTTGTATCGTTCTAATGTGGCAAGTGTTGTATATTCCTGCTTTGAATCAATTCAGGCTGATTAACGGACAAAGGGACGGTGTCAATAACATTAAATTAATTACCTTGGGTTTAATTGGTTTTTCAGTTTCTGTCTGAATTAAAGAGAGACTTCAATGGAAATATTATTAACTCTGGCGAGGTTCTTCATTTTACTTAAAAGTAGAACATATAATAAGTTGGAAAAAGATCCCATAAATCTCAGTGCAGAGTGAAATTAAGACCAGGAAATATAACCTCAGAGGGTCAGTGGCGTCATACCGTGGGTTAAAAACCGCTGCTTGCATATAAAACCAGTGGAGGTGCAACACAATTAGGTCAGATTGAGGCCAGACCATTTGTATGGGTCACAGTAAAAGCGCTCATATGTATGCAGGCTTATAGGACCCATGGGAGTACTGGGCCGACCTTGTCCCACACTCTGATCTATGTCCTCATCTCCCCCTATGTCCTCTTTTCCTCATTCCTCCCCCAGCTTCCTTTTTTATCACCATTTCTTTCCCTTTCAGACCTCCCCCCTACTTTCTTTGACCATTTTTCATTAGTTTCTCTTCTTTCTCGCCCTGTTTGGTTTCATCCCTCCTACTTTCCTACCTAGCTTGTTTTTTATTCCCATCCCTCTTTCTCTCTTTCACTTTCTTTTACTCATTTTAACTCCCTTTTTTCCCATTCGCCAATTCCTTTATCCCCACTCGTCCTTTTTCCATATCAACAGCCAGTCTGATAAATAATGCATCACAGCACATTAAAGACATTAGCAGGGTTCTCTCTTGGCTGTCAAAGAGAGGGAGGAGACGAGGGAGAGGAAGGAATGGGTAACTCCGTTTTAAATAAGTGCTATGGAGAATGATGTGATTTAATATCAGCTGCAGAAAAGCGCCGGGGAAAGGGTGAAGGTCCGAGCGTTAATTGTGTTTGCGCCCTGACACCGTGTCCTCTCGCTCAAAGGTTTTCGCCTTTGGTGAATCATCTGAAAGCCCCGGGATTCATTAAGATGATGACTGTATCAGCAAAGTCTGAGGAAAAGATTTAATGACATTTAGCAAAACACTGATGCTGCATCACACAGAACCTTGACCTTTCCCTCCGCCCCTTTCATCCTCAGCTTTCTCCCTTCCTCTCTCCTCTCTCCTCCCCTTTTCCTCCCCCCCTCCATCCTTCTATCCCTCCTGGCAGCGTGGCGATTGGCATTATTAAAAATTGATTGGCGGCGAGCGTTTAGCAGGGTGGTGAGGCGGAGAGGGAAGGTTTGACAGGCAGGAGTGAAATGAAAGGAGGCTCTCGGCGGACACACTGTGGAAAGGTCTCACTGGGGGACAGACAGTGTGTGTGCGTGTGTGTGTGTGTGTGTGTGTGTGTGTGTGTGTGTGTGTGTGTGTGTGTGTGTGTGTGTGTGTGTGTGTGCGCGCGCCGCGTTTGTGTGTGTTGTACAAGCGTGTGTGTGAGTCTTAGAGAGGGTTGTGCAGAAACATTTAGTAGTGAAGCTTACACGTTTAATCTGTGTGTAGAGGTTGATTTTGCTGTATGTGTGTGTGTGCGTCCACCTCAATATATCTGAATAGTCCTCACAGACCACATCCTGACTGCACAAGGCATCCAGAAGCATCCATAGAGAGCATTCACAGTCATTCTGCTGACCCGGAGTTACCTCTCCACCATCCTCCCTCCATCCCTCTTTCTATCGTTCCCTTCATCCCTCTGCCTATCCCCCCTTTCCAACCCTTCTCTCTCCTTTCATCTCACATCAAATAATATTTCCAACCCATATTCCCAACCAGCTATTCCCCCAATGGCAATAAGTGCTTCAGCTTTGGAGATTTTCAATACACTTTACCCGCAATTTGGCTGAGTGAAAACTTTTTTTGGGGAGGGAGGGGGTAAACCATGCGCTATGACATGAGTACATAATGCTAATCCTCTCTTTTTCTCTCTCTGTCACAGATGAACAGACCAATCCAGGTGAAGCCAGCAGACAGCGAGAGTCGAGGAGGTAATGTCTCCTCTTCTTTCTATTCCTTTTTCCCTTTTCCTGCATTCCTTCCCTTTGTTTCAGCCCTACGAACATGCTGCCCCCGCGTATCAGCCTCACTATTATCCCTCCCCTGAGACAGCAGGGCCTGGCCGGACCCTCCGATATTTGAAACACTTCATGAAAACAGTGTTCCTGCTGGCGTGCCCCTTTCTTAGAGTTTCATCATATCTACTGATGCATGTACTATGCACTTACAGACACGGAAACATGCGTGTCATGTCACGCTCGAGGGGAACACAGGTCACTTCTTTCTGTCAAACACTTTTAATAACGCTGTCTGAGTCCTATTTGACTCGTGTCACAAGTTCCTATCAGCCAAATGAAGTGCAGATTTAATTGACATATCCGCGTGAATGGAAGTGGATGTCTTGTAATCTGTGTGTCTGTACTGTATTGACAGCTAAGACGGCTTAAAGCGCATTTTCTAAGTCTAGACATGTAGTGACCCGCTGCTGACATCAATCAATGGACTATACAAGGCAAGATTGATGCAGTTTGACCGTTTTTGGCTGGAGTCTTTCAAACTTTGCAGTTGAATATAATTGGCACCAGAGCGATTCTTCAGTCGTAAGAAAGTAGGAGGGAGAAAAGAGTGGAAAGAAAGAGGAAATAGAGCATGCAAGGAGTTGAAGGTTGATAAGCAGAGAGAGAGAAGGACTGAGAGAGAGGTGTTGGCCTGTAAAGGGAAAAAAAACGAAGGAAAGGAAGAAAGATTGTGTGACATCCTCTTCTATTTAGTTTGGTGGTGCTGTGAGTGTGATTGATGGAGCAGCAGGGAACAGAGGCGAGCACCGAGCCTGAGGAAGCAAAGTGAGGCCAATGCAGGCCGTCTATACCTCTGTCTGTTATGTGGGTCTATCTTTCTCTCTGTATGTACGTCCTCGGCCCACGTCTCCTCTCCTCGTCTGTTCTGCACAGTTTTGTCAAGATTATTTCTTTTTCATTTCTCTTCTCTATCCCTGATGTTTTTCTCAGGCATGAGGGCAAAGCTTCATCGTACTGTCAGGGTGTTATATTTGAATTTCAATGGTAGAAACACTAAGATCCTCCAGTGGTACCAGAACAACAAAAAAGGGAAAAGTTCTCCATTTCCAATTCTACTGATGTAAATATAGTCAGTGTATAGGGGTATCAAAAGTTTTAAAAGTATAGGTACTTGTTCTGCAGAAAATGTTGCCTATTATTAGATGGTTGTTAATGTGGCATCAGTGCAGGTGTTATTTTACTTTTGTAGCTGGTGGAGTTGGGGATCATTTGTCTTTTTAAGTTAATTATTGGAGTCAGGTTGTTAGAGTTTTGGATATTTTATGTGGACTTTTATGAAATGAACAGATAACAGAGTTTAGTTGTATGAAAGACAGGGCTGCACCAATAATATCTTGTAAAATATTACCTTTCAAAATGTTGACAATACCCTCAAATTGTACCTTAGTTACTTTCCATCAATGTTGAATTGATAGTTTTAGGGATACATGAATGCTGCTTTTATGAGTGCTGTGCAGCAAAATAAATATTTAAATAAGTTCGTAATAAACTTTATAATGTTAGAAATACTTCAGCCTACTAAATATTTAATCAGAGGAAAATAAGGGAATCAAGGACCTACTGTAGGGATTCGCTTCCCTTATGGGGACAAATTGGAGGTCCCCATGAGGGGAATCATTAATTTTAGGGTGAAGACTTGGTTAGGTTTAGGGTAAGGTTAAGGGTAAGGTTAGGGTTAGGCATGTGTTGGTTATGGTTAAGGTTAGGATAAGTCTCCAGGAAATGCATGTAAGTCAATGTAATGTCCCCTGAAGTGATGTATACATGGTGTGTGTGTGTGTGTGTGTGTGTGTGTGTGTGTGTGTGTGTGTGTGTGTGTGTGTGTGTGTGTGTGCGTGCGTGCGTGCGGGTGTGCATGCGAGTGTACACTCCTCACCGCTCTTAAAGAAGTACACACTCTCCGGTGAGCTCCTGGAGGCGGGGACTGCCAGCGCAGCGCGGATACTTCCTGTCAGCCCGGGGAACTCAGAGGTCAGAGGTCGGGGGTAACCTGGCTCCATCACCATGTTCCCATCCAGACGCCAGAACTGATCCCCCTGCAGGGGGAAGTCACGTACACAACACCACTTACATTATACACAGATCATATCACATAAAACCAACATAAATACCATCAACACAAAAGAACAGAGTTGTTTAAGGTGCAGAGGTCAACATTTTTCATTGTCCATTTAAGAAGGTCTAAATTTAGCCCAATCACAGACGACCAGGTGCCGTGTCTGTGTTTTAGAATCATCAGTCATGTTCACGATGCTTTGGTTAGTGACCATAGTGCGTTTAACTTTCCAGACAATCACACACACGATGCCAATGGTTAGTTGGAATAGTTATTTTTGTTTGGTGTCCATCTTTTCTTTGAATAAGCAGTACATGACAGCCTTATAATTTGTATTTAATGTTGAGCCGAGGCCCCGCAGGGCCCAGCAGACCCCCGGAGCTCTATAACATCAGTGAGGAGGGGCTGCAGAGTCCCAGAGACCCCCTCCATCTCTCATGGAGCTCTCTGAAGGGGTCTTGCATTGTAAAGACATGGTTCATATTACTGTAACCCGTCTCGGCATTAGCATATACAGTCTGTTCAGTATGGAAAAATATATATATATATATCAACAATTATATGGCTCCCCTTTAGACTTGGAAAACATAACCATTTTTTATTTTTTAAAGTAGTAGAATTTGAATAAGATGCTACTGTAAATGTGTTCTCCAACTTGCATTGTGTTCAGCTCTGTGAACATGTAGAAAAATAAATAGTTTGTAAAAGTTTGAGACAAAGTGTGCAAAAAGTCCAGAATATAGTTTAGAAACTCTGATATGATTTAATAACTGTAAGTTTTAAGCAACATAAATCCTTTACTTTATGTAAAGTTTATATTAATGTCAGTGTTAGTTGCAGTATCAGATTTCACATGTCATACTGTACCTTGATGATGTAGGTGTGTGCGTGGCAGTTGCAGCGTGTGAACACTGTGTCGATGGGAGAGGACACACCCAGAGTGTGTGAGATCCTCTGAGGACCCCCCACTGAGTGACTGACGGGGTCCACTGACCACAGCAGCTCACCTGAGACACACAAACACACACAAAACCCTCTTTAATGGTCACATGGTGCTTGTTGCACGTCAAACCCTGCATTGCATGTCACTTAAGAAAAAGTAAGTAATAAGAAGAATGTTGATAAAGTATCAAACTAAAACGTACCCAAAAAAAACAAAAATAATGAATCCTCAATTGTCCAGATGAATTCACCTAGTTTTTATTCTTTATCATATTTTATAAACGTGTGTGTCTATATGCTGAAATCTTAATTGCAAATTAAATTATTATTATAAACAAATATCAAATAGTTGTGGTAAAGTAAAAATTATTAAGTGGCATGAAAAGAATACTCAAGAACAATTGGCTCATCATTGTACTTCAGTACTTCAGTTAGTATACTTAGTTATATTCCCCTGAGATCTCACACAAACAAAGCTGTATGCAAACACTGATTTCATATACCGGTATTTCTTTCCAGTGTTTGCAGAAAATCATTTTAAGCTTGAGTCACGTCAAATATTTGAATTTATGTCAAAACATTTCAACACATTCTAACGCGTATCCTCAAAGACCGCTGGACAACACACACTCTGATTCTGACCTTTGAATATCAGAACGGTCCCATTGCTGAGAGCTGTCAGTCCATCGATGGGAGAATCACTGCAGAGGGTCCCTTCAGCAAGGAGTCCTGCACACACACACACACACACACACACACACACACACACACACACACACACACACACACACACACACACACACACACACACATCAAGAAAGACGGACAACTTAACAAAAATCGCTCGCTAATTGTAAACGATGCCGTGCCGCTTTAAAGTACACAATTAGGCTAGTATGTCGTGGGGTCTGCGTCTGAAAAGAGAAACCTGAAAGTTAGACTATGAGTGAAATCACTGTGAGGTGTTCTGTCAGAGAGAGTGGTGTTTAGTTTACAGCAGCCTAGATTGCCAATAATAGTTTAAATGTCTTCCTCACTGTAAGCAGTTATGAAATACCTGTTTGTGAAAGGTTATTTGTATTCTTCATTGTTCATATAGAACCCACTGCTTTCTGCTCACTGGTGAGTTAGCCTATGGATGAGTGTTAAGCACATCAGGCAGCAGCTGTATGGGCATGGCACTATGGTAGTTGTTATTTGCACATTGTTAATCATGGGCAATGCATCCTTAAATTGTTTAACTGTGAGGTGTTATAACATTGAACTGTACTCTGGAGACAGAGAACACTACTACACTTATGAAAAGGCCAGTTTGTGAAAGGTCCAAGTGTTTGTTTTTTTTAAGGTAAAAAAGAAACAGCATGATGCGATGCACAGTATTAGTAGAGAGAACCAAATATGTGAAGCACTTTTTTGTTAATGTATGATTTGCTTAATATAAGGAATAAAACAAAGTCCTCTGTCATAACATATTGAATTGTATCATTGTGTTGAAACGCATCGTATCACCCCGAATCGCATAATGTTGAATCAAATCGTGTCGAACTGTATCGCAACAAGGGATGCCAGTGATTATTCGAATATTCGTTAGTCTCCATAATCGAATATTATTTAAAAAAAATCTATTTTATTTATATATATTTTCATTATTATTTATGTTTTATTTATTTTTCTGGCTTAGTTTCAACCAAAATATAGACTAATGCTAATAATAGTAATAGTATTAATAATTGTAAATGGCCATTAGGTCAACACCACCAGTTTGTTTTACTGTAAACTTGGAGGAAGCCTGCGTGCAGAGCAGACTGCTGCTGCAGCACGCTACACACC